ATTAAATTTAATGATCTTAACACTCTCTTGCAATGCCAAGAATGTGTGAACTTTCTGTCACTGATTTATGAACCAATGAAGGATGACTTTGTATTGTTATTGTAAAAACTGGCCACATGCTTGCCTGTAATTGGGGATAAAATTTCCTCTGAGGGGTATCCCACAAATGTTTTTAATTCAGCGGCATACTGAGTCATTTTCTTCATGGCTGTATAAATAGTGTGTATGTCTTGGTTTCTGCTGTTTTGCAGTAAGGATCTGATTTAAAAGTTCATTTCCTTACACCCCAGGAGCAGTGTTTATGGGTCAAGCTCTCATGCTGTGAAATACTTGAACTCTCTAGGAAACATCCTGGGCATATGATTTAATTTCTGACTGTGTTGGTCTTCAGTGAGAGATTGAAAAATGTGAAACAGGAAGAAGGGATCTTATCAAAAACTGGTGCAAGGGCTTCAGTTTACTTTTAGCTTGAAATGACGCTTGCCAGGAGTCTTAAACTGTGATTACTACATCCTTCATTGCTTTTGCACAGTAAGACTGAACCTTGTTCTATTTTCCGCCTTGCTCCCATGCACAGTAGAGTGAACACACTGGGTGAGATCCCACCTTCTGATAGATCAGGAAAATTTGAACAGTTGGTCCCCAGGGTTAGCCGACCTCTCAGGACTTCTTGTCAGTGCTTTTACTTGTTCAAAGTTGTGAAACTTCCCAGTTCCCCTAGAGATTCCCACGCATGCGCTATGTTTCTTCTGATCTCTTGGCGTTACCTTCCGTCTCATTCCCTTTCAGTGCCTCTTTTAGCTCCTTTGCTGGAGACATATAGGCCCCAGGTAAGCCCTCCACCGGGCACCGTCTGCACCCCTCCTCCACATTCACAGCGGTTCTCACCACCGGTTCATCCTCTCGGAAGATGAATCGCTCCTTTCTTAAGTCCGAGTGCTCTCGGCCAGTGACCTCGACTCACAGGCCACTCTCTTCCGCAGCCAGTTCTCCTGTCTCCCTTACCTCTGCTTTCTCCCTCTCCGCAGGCTCTTAGTGAAGGTCACGCCTGTGATGCCGTCTTCCTCGCTTTCTAGCCTCAAGTCTCTCTTCTTTTCTGAGAATTCAAAAATTTCAAAGGAGTGGGCTGGAATTCTAACTGTGCTTTCTCACCTTACACAGACATCTGGCATTTGTCGCCAACAATATTTAGCTGTTCTAAGATTGCCAAAGATGCCCGATTGACCAAGATACAATTGACCGTTTTGTGTCCTGTCCTCCAGTCTGTGTGTTGGGCTTGGCAAAGTTGACCACATCCTTTTCCTGGAAATGTGATACAGATCCTTGGTTTCCCTAACAGTGTCCTGATTCTCTGCATCCTGACCTGGTGCTTCTCTACCACATGGGCTCCCTCTCCCTTACTACTCCTCAAGAGTCTGTGAAAAGCAGAAGCAGATGTCAATCTCCAGTATGAAATTTTGGTGTCAGTTTGTCTCTTATTCCTCATGTCTTCATAAATTCTTAACTCCTATGTGCCCCAGTAGCCTTATCTTTTAAAACTGGGTTGATCATATTTCACACTGTTAGAAGGATTATATCCCTAGTGCATGAAAATACTCAATATGCAGTTTTCCTTTAAAAACTGTTCTTCTTTACGAGAATACTATGAAGAAGTAATAAAAAAAAAAAATCAAGTTTCCAATTTGCAGTTTTCCAATAGCAGTGCACCAACGCCCCATCATTCTTTAGGCTTTTCCAACTGTAAATTTCCTAGGTAGCATTTGAAAAATGAAATAAGGTGGTTTTCTGCATTTGTTATGACAGAGACAGTTAGAATCTTTAATTACTGAGGGTCAGGTTAGTGAATATCTAAGATTCTTTTTAAAATATCTGGATATTTGGTTTTGATGACTACTATAGTTTTTTTTAAAAGCAAATTTATTGCAATTAAAACATTCAAAACACAATATCAAAAGCATTTGTCTTCTTGGATCATAGAATTTTTATGTAACTTGTCTTTATCTTTAAAGCAAGTCATTATTAAACATGACATAAGTTTAACCTTTATTTTTGACAAATCAATACAAAATAAGAGATTTATTGGCTCTGATATATAAATATAACATATGCTTGACCCAAATGAAGGTGATTTCAGATTTTCACCTGAAGCTCATGATAAATTATAGAAAATACCATTGAAATGCTCATAAGATTATGATACAAGTTCAACAGAAAAATCTTACAGTTTAACTTGGTATTTCTTCTATTTATTATTTGGCTGTTCTAGAAAATATTTCAGTATTTCTGATTTTTGATGCACATGCTTTTCCCAAATCCAAACTTTATTTTTAATCAAGACAACTTTATATATCCTTGGAAAGCTAAATTAGTTCTTTAGAATAGTAAGACATTATTTAGTAAATTTTTCATTCACTAAATGAATATTTTGGTTCTTTTAAATTTTTGATCTGAACATCAACTATGATTTCATGTATTGGTGTGAAATGAAAAGTTGAAGTGTACAAAACAAATTTTAGTATTGAATAGCATTACTTTTGATGTGACACCAGTAAGAGATGTAGATTTGTGTGTCTATATGTGCCATATTTCTATATGTGTACATGTGCTTTGTATGTATATCTTATCAAGTGTTATGAGTAAGTTGTCAGTGAGTTAGATTCATCAAGACAAAACTATATACAAAAGCCAGTAAAGTATTGAATTGTCTACTCTACTCTGTGTGTATGTGTGTGTGTGTGTGCATTTTTTCTATTGATTTTGTTCCTCTAGAGGTCCCTGACCAATACAGCCACACAACTAGATGTTTATGAAGTCAGCATTTAAATCAAAGCTACATAACACCAGAGACTGCTCTTAATACATATGTGAAATGCTTCTTTGTTATATTTAATCTTTGTTATTACAAGGTCCTTATGACGTAGGGACATATGAAATAGCAATTTGATGTTGTTCAATCTAATATTGCCATTTTAATCAGGAGAAACAGAGAGTTAAGGTATTAAAAAAAAAATCTCCCAAGATCAAAGTGTATAGCATGGAGGCAGGATACAAATCCAAAGCCATAGGATTCAAACTCTATCTTTTCCACTACCTTACACGGCAGTGATATCCTTTGTATTTATCATAACCATCTAATTTCTTTGTCCCTGATCCTTGCAAACAGGCTATTAGGCACATGATGTCCTGGTTTTCCTGGGTATATCCCCAGATTCAAATTATTCTTGGGTATGTACCTGCTGTTCTAATACCTTTAACAGTAATGACCAGCTCCAAGTTTTGCTGTTTATTGTCATTGTTGTCACTCTCTTTTCTATCATCTCTTGAACGTGATGGCTCCTACTAATACAACTTGGAGTTTTAACTGCTTCTCAAACTGTGTATTGAAATTTTCTAACAAGTAAAGTATTGTTCATGGTGTAGGATCTTAGTGAATGCTTTTTAATAATTTCTACAGTAAGCGGAAGTCTTAAACCTTTCGTGAAGACACAGCATATCTTCATTAACATGCTGTAATTAACTTTTTGTTGATATTTTCTTCTATGATTTTGTTGCTTCTCCTAGAAATTATTGCTCAGTTGTTGATATTTCCAACTCCAATGGACAGTCTCCTCAGGAATACAGTCTCCCAATGGTTTCTGAGCTATGGCTGAAGTGAAGATTTTGATTCTAATTATTTTAATGAAGATTGTATTTTGTGAATGAGGAATCCTTTACTGTGTGTATAATTAGCAAAAGTCTTTCATGGAAGTTAAGGATAAAAGAACCAATACTTTCTTGGGGCACCAGTGGAAAATTTCTCCTGTCTGTTCATTAGAAAAGGTGGCTCAACTGCTTTATAGATTTTGGAATAGTTACTGCTCTCAGTTTAAGGAAAAATTCAAGGAGAAAAATATCCATTTTAAATTCTTAGAAGCAAATATCACAAAACATCTCTGGAAAAGTATCTGAGTTTTAGTTTTTTCCAAGCAATGTAAGTACATCATTTTAATTCTTGTGTCATCTGTGTTTCTGGACATTCACATTTATGCAGAATTTTCTACATCGGAAGTCCAATTAGTAACATATCATTTTCATTTCACTAATTCTGGGATAAACTTAAAAGAGTAACAATTCAGTTTGGCAAATAGATTCCATGTTTTTAGGTGTAGCATCTCTGCTAGGCTTGCTAAGATGAAAAATTGTCCAAGTTTTTCCAGGTATATCCTTGTTTGAACACTGAAAGTGCTTTGTCTGGGGAAATATCTTGGTCCCAGGAAAACCAGGACACTTGCACACCTATACGTAACCTACTCCACCATGAGGCACCGCCAACATTTTCTCTTTGATTCAAAAGAAAAACAAACAAACCTCGTGTTGTCAATTCCTGTGTCCTTAATTAGAAACGAAGACAGCAATTTCATGTTGCAAGAAACCCAGCCAGATTTATTTCTAAGCTTCATTTCATGTTTTTTTTTCTTATAATGGTAACATTTTCAGAATAGATCAAGTTAGACCTGCCTTCTGGGCCTCCATTTCTTATCAAGAGATCTTTTACCTTTCTTATCTCCTCAGTATTTAGAAATAAGATTTATGATTAAAGACTTTATACATCATTGCATTTGGAAATATGCGACCATAATAATATGAAAATAGATTCACCCTTGCCTTTTCATGGGAAGATTACCATCATGTTTGTTTATTTTGTTAGTTAGTTGACCCACTGAGAGGCACATCTGTTACGCCCCCTGTGGGAAGAAATGAAAAAATGCAGCAGCTTTAGGACATGTCACATGAAGGAGACACAGTGAAAATGGGCAGCATGCGGCAGTGCCATTTAGTGCTTTCCTCCTCACCCATCTCTCCTTGGCATTGCAATTTAAGGTGGATGAATGGTTTGCTCTGGGCTCCAGGCCAACTCCCTGGCCCTGGGGAAAATCATTCTCACACCCACGCTTGAAGCATACACCCTTCAACTCTCTTTCCTGTCCTGCAGCCCCCGAAATGAAACTCTTATCCTCTAGGAAGATGCGGGTCCTTTCATTGCTGTATCTGGGCTACAAGAATCAAAGAGCAAAAGGGATGTTTTCCTCTGAGAACTGGCAGCACACAGAAGGAAGGAAATGCCTATTCCAATTCAAGCATGTTTTAATCTCTGCAGAAGTGAGTACAAGGGAGGGGCAAAACTGGCTAAGAAATCAGTGGGAAAGTCATAAATTTTCTCTTATCCCAACAGCTAAGATTCTTCCTTTACAGTGCCGCCCACCCTTTTTATTTTTCTCTTGAAAGGATTTGGATAATGAACAATCACTTTCTAAATTCTCAAGTTCAAAAATCTCTCTGCAGGAAGAAAAAGGAGTTTTTGAGTAAATCTCCAAAGGCTGGCGGAGTCATTTAAAATGCTCAGAAATTTCAAGACTCACACACACCTCATGAATTTGTCATCTGAATCTACCCTAAAGGATCTGGCACCAAAACAAACCAACAATTCTTTAGTTCCTCTCTTTTCATATTTTTGATAGCTAAAAATGCCATATATATATATATCTTGAATGTCTTCTAAAGAATTGTCTCTCATTGAAAGATATGAATGGACAGTAAACATTATTTTGATCCACTTTGAAAAACTCTGGGCAGGTTTGACCTCAACCTAATCAGGGATCACAGTCAGACAAATGGAGATGGGCAGGCCTTGGGGGAGATGGGCAGAATCTTCAGGACACCTCCCAGGGACTTAGCAACAAATCAGTGCCCTGAAGAATTTAACTACAAAAGGTGATGGTGATGGTGATGGTGATGGTGATGGTGGGAGATTTTAGAATGAAGGAGATTTAAGGGACAGAAAAAGCAAATAGAATGTAGAACCGTGCAGCTTGATTTCTGATTACGGCAATGTAATCACTAAAGGAGAACACCTTTGTTCTTAGTATGCTAAAGTATTTAAAGATAAGATGTCTTGATGCATCCAAAGTATTTGTGAAAACATATCAAGAGGGAAGGAGAGAGAGAGAAGGAAGAGGAGGAGGAGGAGGTGAGAGAATTTATCTCACTCTCTGATTTGGAGCTCACTGGAAAAATTCCCTGCTTCTGTTCACATCCAGGCAAGTTCATGAGTTCACTAACTAGCTTCAGAATATAACTTGGGCTTTTTGGACGTGTTTTAGAGATCCGTGTTAGTCGGGCTTCCATTTAAATTTTAGCTCACAGGAAGAGCCTTACTCTCTGCAAAGGTGTGTCAGAGCAGAATTTCTTACAGATGTTCCTTCAAGAAGTATTCCAAATGTGTTTCCCTCAATTAATTTTTCAATCAATTTCTATACCTACTTCATTATATTTTTAATTTAATTTGCAAATAAAATGGCACTTACAGTTTTGTTCCTCTTACTACCCCTCATTTCCATTTCTAGAATCTCAATTATGCTATGTGCTTACTACAATAATTGCATTGTTTGATATCAGGAACCATCACAGCATAGTACGGAGGCTATTCACAAAAAAACCCCTTGCTGTGTACTCACACTAAAGGCTTGATTCATAAATTTGAAAAAAAATTCATGATTTCATGAGCTAGTGGAAATACCCCAGGGCATGGGCATGATAAAGTATGGGTATTTTTGAACATGATTTTAAGTAAAGTCTGGGGGAATTATTTTCTCAAAAATATCAAAAGTACCTCCATGGAAATTTACTTTTTCCCTCAAGGAGTCTTTAGTCATGAATTTGACCATTCTACTCTTTTATTAAATGCTCATTTGGATATTTGGAAATCAGCACATGGCAGTCATTTTGGACATTTGGTAGTGAGCAATGTATTGACAAAATGAATAACCTCAAAATTTACCCCAATTATTTAACATCTTTGAAAGATTCACCTCTTGGTCTATTACATTTTGATCCACTTAGACTTAAAGTATCCATATTGTTAAAGTATCCATATTTTACAATATCAATATTATTTTTCCTTGATGGCATTCTGTAACTCAAAGTATTACAGCTAGAACCTTAATAATGCTATGCTGGGCACTGTGCTGAGCAGTACTTATACAAGATGAGGGATTACAGTGTGCCCTGCTGATGTTTAAGGAGAATGTGATTCAACAGAGGACAGAAGATATATGTAATGATTATAATGTAAGGCAGAGTACAGTCTACTTTATGGAGATTTGTACACAAGTGTTACCCTGGCTTCTTTATTCATCACTCCAAAAGAATTAGAAGCCCACTCTTCATGATTTAAAATGTTTTCTTCCTGCCTTACTGAAAGTACTACATTTACTAAATGATGGTTAGGTGAGTTAATACCCTGAAATAATTCTCCAGTCGAAGTCCATGGTATTCATGTTCTGTCTGTAACACCTATTAAAGTTTGTGGCCTTGGCAATTCTTGGTCTGGAAGGTTTCTTGTTGAAATTGTAAGAGTTTGATGCCAGCAGGGGAAGTTTAAAAGAAGAGACCCAAATGACATTTTGTTTGGCCATATTTTTCTTAGCAACTATTCAGAAAGATGAGATAAATACATATTTGTAGTATGAGAAAGGACAAAACACTTTCCTCTTCTACAAACCCAGCTCTCTTTGGGGGAGAAGGAAATCAGTGATTTTGCTTAGCCCCTTGGGTAGTGAAAGCAGCGGGTGGTCCCATTAGAGGTTTGAAGTCTCCTTTAACTCACAGGAGCTCAGTTGTTTGGAAAGGTCAGGATCAGTCCTGAGGGGAAATGAATGGCCAGAACAGCCAAGGCTTAGAAGTTTTGCTGTATTCTCCCTTCCCTAAGGGACAACCATGCCTTTGCAACTGCTAGCTTCTCTTGAAAAGGAGTTAAGGCCTTTTCTGGAAGATGTACAAAGATCAAAAGGCTTTAGAGCAAGTCATTCTTGCAAAATTTCCTTAAGTAAAACTAGTTGTCCAAAAAAACCCCCCAAACAAAACACAATGACATTTCCTCTTAACATAAGTAATGTAAACAGTGGTAAAGGAGCTCTCTCAGCCTTTCTGATGAAGGATAAAAACCAGCTGTGAACAAGAATCAAGCAATTTCTCCTTTTCTTTGTTTTCAGTGCCCACGCTCTCTTCTGCCCTGTGCTTCTGGGACCCTTGTTTCTCTTTAAACATGTCTATTTTCCAGGGAGTGAATTTTTTCTTACCTGGTCAAGGTTTCATTTAAAGTTTCTCTTCTCCAAAAATAATGTTTTCAATATCCTGCTTGTCACATTAGCAACAGCTGTGTTCAAGATTGTGGCATTTTAAGTCCTCTGTGGATGCACAGTGCCTCTTAGCAGCCAGCCAACTCCTGGCAAAGCCGGCCGTCCAAGGCCTCACCAGCGTTAGGCACTTCATGTGTGTCACTGTGAATAGAAGGCACAGTTTATGAATGCCTATTACTTTGAAAATCACCCAGGGTACAATGAGGTAATGTCTTCGTTACTTTTCTCTTGGTGCAGGAATAAAATACCTGACACTCAAAAGTAAAGGGAAAAGTTTATTTAGTTCACAGTTTGCAGAGGTTTTAGATCATAATTGGCTGGCTCCAGGGCAGGATGGCTTGGCAAAGGGTCATCACAGAAAAGAGCAGTTCATGATGCCCACAAGGTAGTGAAAGCAGCAGAAGACCTCCTCAGCAGCATCTTTCTGTCCCTTTTGTACTCTATTTAGGCTGCTGAGATTAGGGTGGTGCCAAACCAATGAGTGGAACATTTTCATAATCACACACTCTTACTCCCAGAACTGCACCTTTGAATCAATCACTCTCTAGTTTCAGCCACCTCTGAAAAAGGTCCACTTATGACCACACAAGGCTTTGGGGGCATATCTAAACACAAGCCATAACATTCCACCTCTGGACCCCCAAAGACTTATGCACATCCCTTTATGTAAAGACATTTAGTCCACTTCTAAGAGTTGCCAAAGTCCTAACAGATTCAGCATTATTGAAAAGTCCAGGTGCAAAGTCTCCTCTGAAATTTAAGGCAAACTCTTAGCTACAAGACCCTGTAGAGATAAAAAGAGAGTTAGACACTTCCAACATTCAGTGACACAAGATAGACATTTCCATTCCTAAAGTTCCAAACATGGGGATACAGAGTAGTGGTAACAAAGCAAGACCAAAATCCAGCAGGGCAAATATCAAGTCCGCTAGTTCCATGTGCAGCCTCTGAGGTAATCTGTGGCAAGATGTGAACTCCAAATGGCTTGGGTGGCTTTAGCCCTAAGGCACTGCCAGTGGTTGTAGCTCCTATGGCTTTTCTCTGGGGCCAGCTCTGCTCCCACCTTGTTTTCCTCAGATAATTCACATTTCTGGCTTCTCCAAACTTCTGGAGTCTCCACTGCACCTTTGGCTTCACATTCATAGCTTCACACACTGCCCTCCCAGGGGCACACTCTCTGACTACCCTCTGACCTTCTTCTGAAACCTGGGTAGAAACATTTCTGATCACATAACTCTTGCATTCTGCATGCCTCTAAAACCAGCACAGTCTACTGCCAGCTTGAGCAGTACCCAGGCTTTCTTCTCTCTTGGCTATAGGGGTTGAGTGCCTATGAACCAAATCCTGAGGAACAACTTCCCTAGGGAGCTACCATTCTGAAACATGATGGTCTGAGGCTCTGTTCTCAAAGCAAAGTCTTTCACTTTGGCAATTTTGAATCTGCAAAGGGTAGAGTCCTATTGCTTTGCATGATACCCTCAGGCTATCTTTTATATTCTCTTGTTTCTTCTCAGCAATCAAGATCCCCTCTGCTGTACCTTTGCAGTCCACAGTTTTACTGGAACTTCCTTTCTGGCCAAACTCAGAATGCTTTAAATCATTCTGTTGGCCTCTTTGCTCTTGACTCTTAACATAGATCTGGCTAAAAGCCCCCAACAGTAGCCATGCCACTGCTCAATATTAGACTACCTTGAAATTTCTTCTGCAAGGTTAATTAGTCAACTGCCCTAAATCTCAGCCTCAGGCAAAGTCTCTAGACATGAATAAAATGCATAGAAAATTTTTGCCAAGCCATAACACACAAGTGAGGTTGGAGAAGGGTGCAGTTCCCCACAAGCAGACATCAGCAACACAGCAGTAGCAGGCAGCTGAACAGAGCAAGAGCCACCTGCATCTTTATTGGTTAACTCTTATATAGGTTGTTATCAATGTTTACATTCTTGCATAGTGCCATGAGTGTTTACCTGTGATAAGCCATGGTTATATAACTGTATCCTGCTGTGCCCCTCTGCTAGAGAGTGGGCTGTCATTAGATGCCTCTGAGCTTTGAAGCATTCTGAATGGTCCTCCACAAAACATTGTCTTGAGTCCAGCAGCTAATGCAGTCCTTCTTGCCAGCAGAAACCTCCCAAGCCTGTTCTTTACCAGCAGGATTTCTATCAGCCTGCTGGTCTTCTGACCTCTCACCC